GCTGTGCTTTGAGAGAGTCTGGCAGAAGTTGTTCATACAAGGCCCTGCAGGCACCTGACTGAAAACCCCATCGGGTCATGACTGACCGAGACATAGGTGGTGCGTCACCTCCAGCGTGTGCAGCCCTTCAGGAGTTGCCTTGAGACCCTGCAAGTCATCAGAGTGGTTTTGCTTCAAGATTTTCTTGTAATACATGAACTCAGGGGTTTCCTTGTAGGGGCATGGACATATTTGTTCACTCTTACACCATGTCAGACTCATTTTAGTGTTTTCAGATACTGAAAAATGCATAACTTTTATTATGGGAAAATAGACACACATGAAATTTACCATCTTGGTCATTTTTCAGTGTATGATTCAGTGACATAAAGTATATATAGTGTCATGCAACTGTCACCACTCTCCATTGTCACAACTTTCTCATCTTCCCAACTGAAACCCTGTACCCCTGAAATGATAACTCCGCCTTCCCTTCCCCCAGCGCCTCTAGCCCTTGTTCTACTTTGTTGCCATGAACTTGGGTATTGTAGGTACCCCTCGGAACCATGTGAGTGGAATCCTACAGTATTTGTCCCTTTTGTGATGGGCTTATTTTGCTTCACACAGTGTCAAGATTCATCCCTGCTGTAGCCTGTGTCCGAATTGCCTCCCTTTTTTGGGCTGAATAACATTCTGTTGTATGTAGACCCCATTTTATTTACTCATTCACCTCTGGATGGACATTTGAGTTCCCACCTGGAATGCATAACTGAAGGCAAAAACAAGATTCTGTCCTTAGAAATTGGATGGAATGAACCATACTTTGGAAACGTGCCTTTTTAAACACCGTTAAAAATACGGGCTAAATTATTTTTCTAAGTAGGCCCCTATTAGCACATGATTGTCAGTATTTTCATGTTGTCCTTTAACTAAAGGTTCGGTGCTTCCCTTGAACGCTTTTCTATGCTGTCTTTCTAACTCAGCCACTGTAATTTGGCTCCTCAGTTCACACCATGTTTCTACTCTCAGTAGAGTAGAAATTGTGAAAAATCAGCTATATCCATAGAGGTTAGTGTTTAAGTCCCTTAAATGAGATTGAGGTATCTATTTATAAGGTTTCCTTTTGTGGCCTGGGAGATTCTCAAAGTGATGACATGTGACGTATCGGTTTAAGGGAGAAATATCAAAATGTACCCTAAAAAGGCCTATGTTTTCATCTGTTTTTTGTGAATAAGTAGTTTATGTTAAATACTGAGGGTATCTCTTCTGGGAGAAAGTTTTTCTTCATTCTGAGTAAGGCCTGTTGTAGATGGAGGGTTTCAGCCAAACGCTGTTAGGAACTTACTTGTTTTGCCTCATCTAACCTTTGCATTGAACGTTAGTGAAACTAGGCTCTTTAAAGAATAATTACTAAAAAGAAAACGCCTTAGTGGCTGTCGCCAGTAGCGCCTGAGTTACACAGGTTGTAAGCCGTGTTATCCTTGTCAGTTCTAGGCAACGAGGAGAAGGTCCGAGTTCCAGCGTCTGGGGCTTGTAGCTGGGAATGCACATGGATAGGAAAGGCTTCTGCGGGCTTTGAAGCAGGCGGGATTCCTGACAGTCAGGAAGAGAGAAGACGGAAGTCTAAAGGAAAGATGTCCTCCAGGATGCCAGGGGTTGGAAAGACCCAGAATCCTTGGGCCTGTGGGGTTGTGGAAAGCCCAGGTGTGGAACTTGACTCCTTATCCTCATCCTTAGTTTCACTGTCTTTGGACCCCGGCTTCTGCACGCTGCCAGGATACCCTTCTCCGACTCTGGGGGGAACAGTAAGCGGACCTCCTGCCGCAGCAGGTGCACGTGCATGCGCAGTACCTCAGCGGCAGCACAGCACATCATAGTGGCGCATCCCGGCATCCACACTCCTCTTCCCAAGGTGCTGCCTGGAGCACAAAGCCCTCCTGCAGAGACAGGCCAGGGCGCCCTCTGCCCGGAGAGCACTCCACAGCAGTTACTGTTTGCTGTTCACTTTGGTGTCCTTACACAAGCTGTTGTTTCCCTCCCAGTACCTGTCCCTCACGTGCCTCTCACGTGTTCTGTCATCCGTCTCCAAAGCCGGTACTCCATCAAGGCCACGTCACATGCCACGGGCTCTATGAACTTTTCTTGTGCATGCACACCCGAAGGAGGGCAAACGTGGTTCCAGCTCATCCAGCCCTTTCTGACGTATGTGTGCCTCCTACATTGCGACTCAAAGCTGGGTCCAATCTCTTGGAGGTGGTTAAAAATGTTTTCGAAATGTACAAGCTTAGGCCCCACCCCAGGCCTCCCGAACCAGACCCCACATTTTAACAAAACACTGGGAGCTTTGCCCACACGCACCAGTTTGAGAAGTGCAGTCTGTAAAAGCCCAGAGACTCGTTCAAGGAGCTGTGTCTTTCAAGATGCACCCTCCCCTCCCGGTATCTGCATGGTTTTTTGAGCATAGTATTTGCTCAGTAGATATTTACTGGAAGAGTAAATATAGACTCTCAACTCCTGCCTGTGGCGGCTTTTTTGCACTTGCACCACTAGTGGGAATTGTGGCCATCTGGGCAGTGCCCCTTGCTGTATTCTAGGTCTGCATAGTGACATAGTGCTTTGGTGAGGTGGGAGGAGATGTGGGGCCTCTGTGGGAGGCAGGTGCTGCTGCCTCTGGCTGCCCCAGCGGGAGCACTGATGAGCCTGCCTTGGGGCTTTCCTCAGGCCACCAGGCTTGCCTGCCTGCCCTCCTTGGCAGCTCTGTGCACTTTGTGGGGGGTTTGGCTTCTGTGGTGCTCACAGCTCTCCATCTCCTGTGCTTTCAGCCAGCCCCTCCTCCCCCTGACCTCTGGTGTTGGGGACCCAGGGTTCTGTCCTCATGGCCGTCTGCTGTCTCCAGCCTCCTTCAGTCCCCACCCCCACTGCAGTCTTTACCCTGTGCTGGGGGTCGCTCCACGTGTAGGCCCCCTTTGCCCACGGACCTTCCCCCTTGGCAGCACACAGGGCATGTGGGAACTGAAGTGCACGGCCATGTGTGACGGACATGGCTGAGTGTGGGGTCTGGGGCGGGTGGGAATTTGGTTACAATCTGTCTGTTTGTATGTTGGAATAAAATTGGCTGGATGTTTGAAAGCGGTTGTTAACTGAATTGCTTCATATTTTTGTTAGGAGTGGTCGCTTAATTTTGTTTATGGTGTTGACCTGCACTGAATACTTGCTTTATTAACCTAAGAGTTTAGATCTCGGTGGAGATTTCAGGAAAATATGATGTGGTTCCGGAACTGAGGCATCTTAAGTAGCTTAAGACTCAGCTCTTTAACTATGAGAGGACAAATCTGACTGCTTCAATGGCTTGTGAGGACTTCGGAGGTAGTTCTTAGGTTAGCCGTGGTGTGCAGTTGAGCAGCAGTGAGCTTTCAAACTGTACAGTCATCGGCTCAGAACTGCTCCGTGTTTTCACTAGCTTTCCTAGTGGTGTGTGAAGATAATTGCTTTTTGGTGTAAGAAAGGGTTGGCAAACTTTTTTTGTAACAAGCCAAGTGGTAAATATTTTTGGCTTTCTGGGCCAAAGTACTGCATTCTCTCCTGTAACCCTGTGTAAACAGTGGGTGTAGTTATATTCCAGTAAAACTTTATTTACAAAAAAAAAACAGCTGGCTGGATTCGGCTCCCGGGCTGTGACTTACTGTGTACTAGTAAAGACAATGGGGTGGCTTCATTGATGCCAAGTTGAGTTATTACTGTGTAGGGAGGAATAGGGTAAGGATTCAAAGACCAAGGTTTCTCAGCCTTTAAAGTTACTAAATGGGTAACATTCAAATTTTAAGGAGTCAGTACAAATTCACCTACAAATGTGTTTAGCATGAAGGACTGCATAGCTTCATACATGTACACACAGCAGGGAACAGTAATCTAATTAGGGTTATGACCAGGAAATTGGACAACAAGTGCTAGCAAGGATGTGGAGAAGTTGGAACCCTCATACACAGATGGGGAAGAATGTAAAATGGTGCAGCTGCTTTAGAAAACAGTCTGGCGATTCTTCAAACTGTTCGCTGTAGTTACCATATGGCCGGGCAATTCCACTCCTAGGTAGAGAGCCCAGACACACGGAGATGCTTGCTCGCACAACACCATGCATACCAGTGTTCAGGGCAGCCTAACAGCCAACAAGTGAAATAGTAGCCAGAAAGTGAAAACATCTCATATATCCATCAGCTGGTGGATGGATAAATAAAACGTGATCCATCCATATAGCAGAATATTCGGCCATAAAAAGGAATAAAGTACCGACAGGCTACACACATGAATGAACCTTGAAAAGGTGCCAAGTGGAAGAAGGCAGGTACAAAATACACCATGTATGATTCTTTTTCATGCGATATGTGTGAAATGTCCAGAATAGGCAACTCCACAGAGACAGAAAGTAGACTAGTGATTGCCTGGGAGGATCGGAAAGTGACTGCTCATGGGGGTGAAGTTTCTTCTGGAGTTCAGGAAAGGCTCCAGAATTGACGGTGGTGATGGTTACACCGGTCTGTGAATATACCGAAAAGCCATTCACCTGTATATCTATATGGGTAATTGTGTGCTGTTTGAATTATCTCAACAAAGCCATTAAAAAACTCTAGGTACAGATTTTTTTTTTTTTAGGTACATATTTTGTTAGAGAAATAATAAATAATAAAAATGATCCATCATTGTTTGGATAAAGGAGAGCTAGAGAATGAATTTGGATCGTTGGATCCACTGGTTTTGGTTGTGTGTGTTCCTGACCTCCCCATGCCCTTCCCCATACTTAGTGACTGATACCCACATCCTTGTGGAGGCAGATGGTGGTGAGGGATGCATCCCTTGACCCCCGAATGGGAACCGGGGCTGCCTTGGGGCTCTGATGTTGTCCTTTTATTCGTGGGTAATCCAGAAGCTGGTCCTAGGACACAGGCATGTTGTGTTCCTGGCCAAGTTCTGGGGGTCTGCTTTGCTCATTTGGGAGGCTCACGGGATGCACTTCTCTGTTGCAGATTGAAGAAGGAAGTAAAGCCGCTGCAGTGGACAAGTTGCTGGCTGGAGACGAGATCGTGGGCATCAATGACATTGGTCTCTCAGGGTTTAGACAGGAAGCCATTTGCCTGGTGAAGGGGTCTCATAAGACCCTGAAGCTGGTAGTGAAAAGGTAAGGTCCATGCCTCATTCCAAGTTTACAAACAGGTGAGCAGGGCAGCAAAACATGCCTGGTCGACCTGTGTCACTGCCACTGTCCGATGTGGATGTACATCGTGTGTGCACTGCATGAGCCTGTGAAGTTCTGCCTCTTGGCCGAGGGTGAAGTCTGTGTGTGCCACGTGTGCGTGTGCACACACATAGAATTAGCTCTTGGCCAAGCATGAATGCAATGTCAAAAATTCACATTTCTTATTTTATTACTACTGATTTTTTTCATTAAACGTATTTGAATACTCGTATCTTTTCTTTGGCAATAGGTGGATGATTCCCTTGGCAGAGAGAAAACCACTTATTTTGCAAATGAAGTGAGATGTTGTTGCCTGTTTACACAGGGTGGCAGGCCATGGCATTTGTGGCTTGATGCTGAGACAGAGCATGACATAGATTTAAGTCAGCCACCAGGTGTTTCTGGAGCTGTGCTGAGGACCTAGGGCAGTGGGCTGCCTGTTCCTGGAAATTAGATTGGATGGTTTGAAGAGGTTAGAGAACAAAGTTAGGGACATGCTGGTTTTATACCCAGGAACCAGACCGGTGCCCCTGGACCTCACAAAGGCATTTGTGACTTGCTGTTTTCATACAGACGTAATTCCCCATCTTGCATTTTGGACTTGGCTAATTCATGTAAAGTGTTTACGTGTTCTTTTTAGCAGAATTAGCACAGTCTTTCCAAGGTTGGGTGTAACTTAAACAAATTGACCCTAGCATTTACTTCACTTTTCTGATACACAAAGACAGCCTATACTATGTAGAGATGAGGTTGCTAATGCAATGTGGCAAAGGATGAAAGCTTTCCTTTCCTCATTCGTGAATGTCCTCCTTGGATGCTGTTTTGATTTAAAAGAAAAAAAAAGTATAGAGTCCTTTGGTAATATGTCTTCAAGACTGTACTAAATTTGAAGTCTTAGATTGGCAGTTCTGGAGTCCTTTGGAGAAGATGGGACAGGAGAGGCATTGTCGTGTCCTTTGTGGTCCCTTATTCACCCTTTTAAAGCAGGATGTGTGTCCTCATGGGGTTCTGTTAGTCTGAGTGGAGTGCTGATCGAAAGGACTTTGTGTCCCAGTGGAAAGTTGGATAAAAGACATAAATAGGCAGGTATTAATGTAAGCAGTAGAAATAGGAACCCAGTATTATAAAAAGATGTTTAGGAATCTGCAATCAGAGTGAGATACTAGGTTGTGACAAGTTGGCAGACTTCTAATAGAAATTCAGTGCCCACTGTTGGTGAGATTGTGGGGAAACGAATATGTACTTGGTATTATGCTGACTAGACTGCAAGTTAGACAACTTTTCTGCTGAGCAGTGTGGCAAAATGTTTCAGAAGACCTATCTTGAACCCAGAATTCATTTCTGGAATTCTAGGTGCTTGGCAAAGGGAAATGACAGGCATGAATTAGAGGGTATCCACATTGGGGCATGCTGCCGTTACAAGCGGTGTCTGCATTTACTGATGTGGAAAGGTGCCCTTCAAAGTTTGGTTGAGTGGAAGCCAAAAAGCGTAGTTGTAGAGCTCTGCTCATCCCATTTTAAAACAAGTTTTAATTTTTAATTGTGCTAAAATAAACACGGCAGAAAATTTACCATCTCAGCCACTTTAAGTGTATGGTTCATTAGCATATTACTTTGCTAACAATGAAAACATATCAAGCTTGTCGCATTTTTAGAGGAGAAGCCTTTGGGGATCAGTGTGCCTGTGTTCATAGGAATCAAGCAGGGATCTCGTCCTCAGGAACTGTTCAGCTGCAATATCACATTCTGTTCTGGACAGTGCCCCAAAGGAGGTTTGTTGATTGCACTGTGATCAAGCAAAAAGAATGATCTTCTGGTTGTAGCAGTTGGAATGCTGGCCACAATTTATTCCAAGGCTAACTTTTTCATCTGTATTTATTTCGTTTTTAAAGAACTAGACATGGTAAAACATCCATGCTCAAAAGAGAATTTGGGGTAGAGAAGTAATCTTCCCCTCCCCCAGAGAAGAGCATTATCGCTACTAATGTCTTGGGTTTCCATTTAGAAATATACATGTAAATACAGGAACATGTATATCTCTGTACATTGTTCCATGTTGAGTACACAGAGGTCTGACTCATGATTTCTCTTAGTGACCCCATGGTGCTCCACAGTCTGGATACCCCACTGTTTAACAGATTCTCTGTGGTTGTAGGGAGTTCCTGTAACAGAGCGTGCTGCAGTACCCAGGTTTTTGTGCCCAAGTCTGCGTATCTGTGCGTATAGATCACTCAGATCAGTTCCTAGCTTGGGGGTTTCTGAGTCAGGTTTGTGCATTGCAAACTTTGATGGGCACTTTCAAATTTCTCAGACCGTTTTGACTCCCCACATCAGCTCTAGCACAGGAAATTGTCAGTTTGTTTTTGTTTCTTTTGAATGTGGTAGGTGAAAAGTGATTTTAGTTCATGGGCATTTCTGTCATTTATGAGTTGTTGGACATCATTCCATATGTTTAGCAGCTTATTTTGAACTAGACGGATGTATTTAAAGATACAAAAGTAGGTCACCTCAATTCTGTTTAAAGCAAAGCATGTATGTCTCATGAGAGCAGGTCAGTAGAAGGAAGGAAGGAAAGCCGTGCAGGCCTGCTGGGTGACTGAGCTATCTGGGCATCGGAGACTCTCGGAAGAGGGGTTAGGCTTTAGCCCTGCAGGATTGGTGGGAACCTCTGTGTAGAGCCCTGGTTTTGCCTTCATACCCAGTGTCCTTTACATGAGAGGTGCACAGAATGATCATCTGGTTTACATGGGGTTTAATCTTTTAAGTAATATGCATAACAAGCAGTTGGCTCACAGTTGTTTTTTTTTTTTGCAAACACTTTTCATAACAGACTTAGGTGTCTTAACATTTCTAAAAGTAATTTTGTATTTTTAATGCTCTATGTAGGTATTATATCATTTTCCTCATTGTAAAGGCACCAAGAAGTGCTTTTAAAGTGATTTCTCTTACATCAGTAATGCATATTCTTTATCTAAATTAAAATCTCTGCTTTTATGTCACCATTCTTTCTCCATCCTCAGGCAACTGCTAGTCTGCCTGTCTTGGAGGTTAGTCAGCATTTTCTAGTGTTTTATGTACAGCTCCAAAAGTTGTCTACTCTTTAAAAAAATGGCTTATTTATAAAAAGGCACTCTGAACAATTCATAGAACAAGCCACAAACATATAAGTATGGCATTTTGCCCTACCTACAAGTATGGCCAAATGATAAATTAGCTTGCTCCATCCACTTCTGCTTAATCTGATTCGACTGCCTGCCTACCTCAAGAGCCTTAGGAAGGGGTAAAGATAAAGTAGATTAGGTCTGAGGGCCAGAGTGGGGCAAGTTTGCTTGCTCTGGGAGGTTATGTGGAAGGGGGCAGACGCAGCACAGTGTGACGAACCCGTGGTTTTATAAGCATAGTGGAAATCAGTCACACACAGACTCCCACCTGCTATGACAGCTGCTGTGCGTCGCCTATTCTGTAGGCTCATCTTAATTTCAGTGTGTGCAGAGAACAGGGCCTAAGCAGCCAGGATAGGATTGCACTGGGGAGGTTTCACAAAGCGGTGGCATCTTCTTTCATGGGACATGGGTACCATATCTTGTCATCCTTTAGAAACCAGGCTGGGAGCGGCAGGTGTTTGCATGGCTGCTTGCTCTCCCCAGCCACATTTCTTCCCCAGACAGATGAGAACGGGCACCTTTCTCCCACAGTGTCAGTTGGAAACAAAGAACTGAAACAATAATCCCCCAGGTGCCCATATGTCCTTTGTAGTGCCCAGGTGGCATATGCCTCCCTGCCAGGGGGGGGTGGGCACAATAGTGGGCGGGGCACCTGCCCAGGTGTCAGCCCACCTGTTCAAGTCTTGCCTTGCCCTTCCCTCCCGGGCACTTGGTGGTTTCCCTCTTTGGCTAAGGAAGTGCTCCTGCAGGAAAGTTCGGGGTGGAGTGGTAACCTTTCCTGCCTTGTCTGTCCCTCTGTGCGCTCACTTGTCATCTGTACTTTCTTCCTGGGTGTCAGGCCCAGGATCTCCCTGGGGACCTGGTGGGGGTGCTGGGATCCTCACAGAGGCCGCGGGCTGGTTTGCTGCCGAGGGTGAGCTCAGAGTTCCCTGCCTCCCCGAGCGTGGTGTGGGGGGCTGCCTCCCTATTGAGGGGGGTGTGAGGCTGTAGCTGGGAAATGGGCACTAAACCCTCTGCGTGGAGGCTGCCCTCCATTTCCCTCACTTTAGAGGCAAATTGCCATAAAAGGTCCGTATAATTTCAAATACCCTGAGGAAATTTCTTTTAAATATCATTCCATACATTATTCTGTAAAGCTTGTAATAACTCTTTTGGTTTTCCAAATTTTTAAGCTAAGTTAGTTTTGTGTACAATTGAGGACCACTTGCCACCTACCTCATCATTAATGTTACTCTTGAACCATCGGGGGTTGCAGGCAGTTTTGCCAGGGCCAGAGATGATCAATAGAGTCGGTTCCTATGATTTCCTGCCTCTTTGCTAATAGCCTTAAACCCTTTTGTGAGTCTAATTACGTCCACTAAGCTTGCATTCAGCAGATTAACACCCAAGGATGGAAGTTCTTTGCAGGACCTGACAGGGTTAGCAGGCTGTGTCATGTGGCTACACATTTGAAGGGAGGAGGTTTCAGGTCTAGTGGCAGCACCTGTGTTTGCTAGGAGCAAGTTTCCTGCAACATGCATTGGTTTCTGGATGTCATCAAGTTGTAGTATATTCTGCACCAAGCTGGTTTTGCTGTGTGCTCCCCTCTGCTGCTGGCTCCTTGGAGCTGTCCCTGAGCAGGTGGCTCAGTGAGTGGCCCCAACGGTGATTAGCACAGATGTTCTGGAAACAGCTACAAGCAATGGTGCTGCAAGAGTACAGGGGGGCTAGGACATTGACAGGTTGTGTTCTTTCTACCCTGTCCTCCCCTGCCTGGGGCAGAAACCGCGTGCGCGCGCG